TTTTATAATAATTGTATTATAATTTAAATAACGGTATTTATAGATAATTAAAATGAATAAAGATACATTATATTAAAAGCTGCTGATATCTGTTACAATAATACATTCATTGTAACTGAAATAAAATTGTGCGTAATAACACAGTTTTAATAGAAAATGTAATAGTAACAGTTTATTATCCGTATTATTTTTTTTAAAACTAGATAAGCTTAAATATTAGGAATTTAATCTTCCATCCACCTTAAGAAAATCATACACGAAATTTTAAAAACGCTGACTGAAATAGTTTATGTAGCTATAGTTTATTACATTCAGTTGTGTGGGAAAAATACACAGCTTTACAGCTGCAAAACTGCAAATGGTAAGTGAATTAACGAAATGAGTTTAATATTGTTTTCCTGTTTTGAAATATTATCTAGCTGTCAGAAACTGAGGTAGAAATTAGGGTCAGTCTACTAATGAACATATTTATGTATAAATAAATATGTCTTTACTCGTAGATTCGATAATACAGTTTAATTATTGTGTTTTATTTTCACAATATTTTTTAAAACTTAATTTTCAATTAAATTAATCAACAATTTACAGTAAATCATTTGAGGTGTAACTATTCAATTTAAAACACATTTGTACGATTACTGAAAATAAATACCCACTGTGGCGTAACTACAACAGTCCTAAATAGGCTAAAGTTCTACATATTACACACCTTAATATCACCCATCACAGCATTACTCAACTGTAACCAAGATGTGTTATATTCATAAGTAGCGTATCCGTCCCCACGCGTTGCTGCGCGGATAGAAGAAAGTCTGAAGAAATATATAAGAAGAGTTTCATCAATGCGTTACCAATCACATATTCTTAGAAGCCTGACCTTGTTTAGTAAAAGTGAGTTATTTAAATGTAAACAATGTTTGCGCTTGAATCATAAATATCGGGACACGTTTTTACCTACACCACCGCATAAAAACGTTGAGCTTACGTTAATCACTAACAGAAATAATGAGGTAGAAGACACTTCGCTGACCGCCCATGTGTCAATGACGTATAGAGGCGTTCTCTGGAGCCCCCGATTACACTACCGCAGAGGCGCCGCGTACGGCCTCTGGCTCCTGAAAACTAAAATTGGCGCCATAGCGCTCACATGATAAACCAGAGCGCCACACAGCATTCTGAAACAACGATACACATTGCGTTATACAAATCAACAGGATTTTGTTCTCTTTAACACGTAGAAAAAAAATTATTCGACGTGTTAGCATCACTAATGGTGTAGTTTTAAAAGCTCAATCTTAATTTGTGATTGGAGCGTCTAAAAATATATGCTAATTGCATCATTTGCAAAGTGACGAAACTGTTTGGACTTTTTTTACGGATAAAAGGAAACAACCCTGTTAATAATCTATTCTTGGTTAATTTTTCTGGTTATTAAAATAAAGATATTACTGGGTCCTTAATTGCCCATGTGAGCCTTTGAGGGCCGAAACTGAAATTTTTGTTTGCTGCCAAATCGCACCCTAGCAGGCCGCCGGTGGACACGCCTGATTCAATTTAGTAAGCGATCGGATGAACGGTGTCAAAACGCAATCGTCTTTTAATTTTTATATACCGTATATAGAGAAAAACGCATCCCTGTAAATAAAAAAAATGTATTTACAGAAAACTCCCCTGGAGTGTTCTAATCAGCCCTCCCAAAGTTTCATGGCACTCGGATGGACGGTGTCAGACCGCATTCGACTTTTATTTTTTATATACCGTATATCGAGAAAAATTGTACCTTCCCGTGACGCCGCCCTTGCGAAATTAAAAAAAAAAAGATTTGTTTTGCAGAACCCTTCCCTGCAGTTTTCTAATCACGTCTCCAAAGTTTCATGGCGATCAAATGATCGGTGTCAAACCGCAATCGACTTTTATTTAAATATACCGTATATAGAGAAAAACCTCTGCTAATTTGAAAAAAGGGTTTTTTCGTAGAAACCTCTCCAGGAGTATTCTTAAGGTCTTCTCAAAGTTTCATGGCGATCGTGCGATTCACTTTTATTATTTTTATATACCGTGTATAGAGAAAAATCGCACCCTTCCGTGTCGCCGCCCTTGCGAAATTAAAAATGATTTTTTAACACAATTTTTCCCTATAGTTTTCTAATCAACTCACCAAAGTTTGATAGCGATCGGAGGATCGGTGTCAAACATCAATCGATTTTTATTTTTACATACCGCATATAGAGAAAAAACATTGTGCCCTGCCGGGGAGCCACCTATGTGAGTTTGAATTTTATTTTCCGCAGAAGCCTCCCCAGGAGTATTCTCAACAACTTCCCAAAGTTTCATGGCGATCGGATGAAAGGTGTAGTAATGCATAAAAAATAAACAAACAAACAAACATACATTGCATTTTCTATATACGGATAGAGATCGTGTTATGATCACAAGAAGAAACTATTTTTGCTTCGGCAGATTAAAAAAAAAATCCCATTAAACAAATTCAAGGTGTGATTTAAAATTAAAATAAAAATTAGGATGAAAAATACATTAGACGACGAAAGGTTTAACAATGAATTAAAAATTTGACAGCTTTTAACGTTATACAAATACTATACACATAGTGTTTGTGTATGGAAATAAGAATGTAAATATCGATTTATAAACACACACACACACACAAACACCTATATATATATATATATATATATATATATATATATATATATATATATATATATATATATATATATATATATATATATATGTATATATATATATTAGCGTATTGCACTCTTTTTTTCTACTGACTTTATGTTAACCTTCAAGCTACAGAGAAACTTTAACATGGTTGGAAACGAACACATATCTGCTGAATCTACTTCCTCGTTGCAATTGTTGTTATCCATCAGATCGGTTTACGTCTTTTATAGCTATATTTTAAGCGCCGTATTTTATTATTCAAGCTCTTTTCTTTGACACGACATTATTTCATACAGCACACCAAGTTTAAACGTTACTATACACTGCCTTTCCCAGGGATAGAGTGTAGTTTTATGCAACTGAAAAAATGTGTGCATAGGAATATTTTAATGTCATATTTAGCCAACCGTTTCAAAATGTTTTCCCTGTAACACAATTAAAATAAAATAGAAATACACCGTATAACATTAACATTATAATGCAGATTTCTAGTCTACAGCACATTCTTACATATCGTGTGGTACATTTTTGAAACAATATATTATTATTTGACTTTAGTTACCAAAGTTCTAATCGTTGTAGAATTTACTGTTTTAAGTGTAGGCTATATAATTTTGTTTACAGCTTTTGTTTTATTATGTCTTGTTTCAACAAAAAGTAGACTGTAGGCCTACATTAAAATCGACCTCTTTCTAGTACTGAAATCATTTTCTCCACGGCAATTAACAATCAAAGATGTTATTTATCTATCAAATGCTACCGGTGTTTTTTTTTTTGCTAACATGTTAGGGACGGGATAAAAAAATAAAATCACAAAATATACAATGCACTAACGGATAACCTATAATGTAATCACCTATTATTGTGTTGAAACAATGATTATCTATAAGTTGGGCGAGTTGTTTTAAAGGTCTGGTAACAATGTGATGTTTTTATAACTAGGGGTGGCGGCTCTGTGATGAGTGTGTACCAGATGTCTAGGTTACGTGCTGTTTGTGCCCAGATTGTTGTAAGTATAAGAAGTGTGTGCATCAGCTGTCGCTATAATGTTATTAATATAAAATAATATTGTCTGTTTAGAAAATGCAAATTTAAAATAATTTAATTATCATGCAAATTACTGTAGATATTAGAACACCGATACAAAGATCAGTGTTTCTTCCAGACTTTTTTCTCCGGGGGGGGGGGGGGTCAACATTTTTCGGGGGTGGGGGGCGGACACTAGTAAAAGTGTATGTTTACTATATAAAATCCATCTCGTTCGGGGGGGGGGGTGCGGTAGACTTTCTTCGGGAGAGTTCCCCCCCCCCAAGAGATGCCTGGAAGAAACTCTGACAAAGCTACTAGAATACGACGGCTTGTAATATACAACATATTATTCTACACACAACTTGCTATGGCTAACATAGCTATAGAAATGTAGAAATTGCAGGCTAAGTTCATACATTAATCTATCTCTTACCCTTACTACAACTGGAACGAACTGTACAATAACAACATGACGACAAATTGTGAGCGAACAGTAACGACATAGTAGGTTAAAAGTACACCAGCATTGACTCAAACACACCCAGTTATCCCTTCACAGCTATGTGGTTGGTTTGATTTTACAAGCCTTCACTTTGTTCACGGCGTCCGTGTCTGGGTTTGTATCTAATTCCATAACTCAATGTTGACTCATTTTTTTGTGCAGTGATGTCGTGTAAACGTTCCAGATACACACTTCTTCAATGACAATTCAATAATACAACTTTAATTAGGAGAAAATTTAATTTAAGAACTACAAACATTAATAATAAAACGGGAGATGACGAGATAAAATAATATCTTGCGATCTCAAATCAGTTGTACTGTTTATCACTATAGGGCTGGTAAGTAGGTCACCAACCAGTTATATGGCTCATTAAAACCTGCATGAGCCATAGACCTGTTGATTGACCTATTTACCTGCCCTAAAGGGGGTCGAACAGATTAAGATCAAGCAATTGCTTGATCATCTTGCTGTCGTCTGTGAACTTTTGATAACGGACGGTTGTGTCATTGTCTTTAATAGATAGCGAGCTACTTATCGTATTTTAAAGTTAATTTGTTTAGTCTTAGCCTATGCTCACTAGAACATTGATTCATTAATAAAAAGTGTTATATTTAACACATATAAAAACATGGATAATAACAACCTTTTCGATATGTAAGAAATCTCATGAGCGATCAAAAGTTTACAAAGTAACAAAACTTGCTATATTTTTTAATAATTTTTTTAATAATTGTTTCATTAACAAAATAAAAACAAGCCTAAACTAATTTGTATAGTATTTATTTATAATAGACACTACTCTAATAATATACATTCTTCAACTAAAGTAAAACATGTTCTTCTCTTACAGATAGAGTAATGTGAGCTTGCTTAGTAAATCTTGTAAAGAATTGTTGAAAATGAGATATTTTCTGCTAATTGTTTATTTTAATTAAGACTCAATAGCTAAGGAATAACATTTATTTTCAATTCTAATTGCAGTTGAATTAATATATAATGTAAATTTAATTTAAATATGTACAATGCCTTGTGAGTAAAAAGTATGTAACGCTTCTAAACACAATAACAATACATTATCCATACATTCTACTCCTATATTGTGTGGCTCAATATTACAACGAATGTATGTTCGTCGATTCCATACCAATAGACTCATATTCTACAATCTCTTTATAATCAGGGTCGAAGTTTTCATATTGACCGTTTTCTTTGTTATTATCATCGTATGGGTTTGATCCAGCCTTTGTTGACGGTATATCTTGATCGTTGTTAGCAGTCTGGCTCTCTGAAATATTTATACAAAGCCATCAGGGTTTCTCTAAGATATATTCCGTCGAAGCAGGGGCACTTAAAACTCGAGGATAGATACTGCTTAAATGTATACCATATATTTTTGTTATTTTGTCCTGGGGGGGGGGGGGGGTGTCGTGGGTGTCGAGCTCAGGGGAGGATGAGTACACATCAGAGAGATGTCAGGAAAAAACATTATAGCGTGTACGTCACAGTTGATTTGCAGTTATATAATACACAGCTTTTCTACATATAAAGAATTATTATTCATGAAATATAGCCTTACCTTTTAAGTTTTCATTAGATTTAGTGTGTGCTTCAGTATTCATGTTGTTGCCTAGTTTTCTTGATTTACATCGACAAATAATGCAGACAATGGCTGTGATGAGTACAACAGCAGCACACGTAATGCCAATGCCAATGCCGATACCCTCTATTAATCTCTCATGACCTGAACAGTGGAAAACACATCGGTTTATAATCAATAATACTCCTTATATAGAACTAGCGTCTCCGTCACTGCGCGTTGCCGCGGTCTCAAAAGAAAGTCTAAGCCTGATTCGATATAGTGAAAGATTATTGTTGCTTATCGCGTCTTTAGTGTATTGCTCATCGGGTCACGCAAGCGCTGGGGCGCCGGCGACTGCGTCTGTTGCATATTTATCGCCGAATATAGTAGTACTCGCCTGGAGTATTCATAACCAATTTTCTAAAAATTCCCGTCTATGGGATGAAAGGTGAAGTAATGCAAATAGGACACACACAAAACTACATACTTTCATTTAAAGGTAGAGATATTGATTGATGACCTATCTATATATGGATATACTATTTTTAACATAACATTAGTCGTAATTTCTATCGTTATGCATAAGAGTTAAGGGGGAAAAAAATCGCGTTTAGCTGCTATCTCTGTAATTCAAATAGATATATCTTTGTGACCATATGTTGTAAAATAATGATTGATAAGTTAATGTGTTAAACAATGAGGAAATCATTAAAGACGTCACAAAAAATGTGTTATTTTAAAATTATTTGTATTTGGCTCCTAAAAATATTATAACTTACAAGGGCGGTGGCTACAGACGTTTTATACAGTGTTATATGTAGCAAAAGTAGCTCGAAATATGAATTTTGGTTTTATTTGAGCTTTTAAATTTAATGTTATACTTAGAGAATTTGTTTTAAATCGTTTATTTTAACAAACTTAAGTACTTAAAAAAGCTTCATAACATGATATTTTTAATATGTTTATATTTTAATCAAAACATTATATAATACTTTCTTACATAGTTCTTTAGATGGCTCTTGATATATTTCTGTGCAATTGTAACACCGTCCATCCTTGAGGTTGCAATTCCATTCTAGTCGGTTACTTTCGAACGCTTCATAATTGTAGATAAGAAAATGTATGAAAATGCTTTTCTGAGTAATGTATTATATACATTGAAACACTACCATAAAGAGAGTAGTGGTTGTGTAGTAGAGTAAAAAAAATCTTAGAATCGGACGAGTACACCTAAATTTTGAAACGCCAGGGTCACATATATGTTCCCCTATTCTACCTATTCCATTCCACCTGAGGTCCATAGGGGTAACTATATTAGTTTTATAGAATACTACCTTGTTCATAAAGACCACCATGATGTTAATGTTTCCAATAGTAGTACTACCCTATGAATACATTACGTTCAAATAATCAGGCAAGACTTACTAGTGTTACAAAAGTGACCAGTATAGCCTGGTAAACATTTTTTACATTGACCGTTTATGCTGTCACATTGTAAATTTTCACAATTCGTTGAACATGTGTAGATACATCCTGGGCCATAGTGAGTGTTGTCGCAATCTGGAACAAAGAAATGTTACGGCTACTAGCTACTTTACAAGCAATGATGTATTTAAATTTATGTCGAACTGTTGATTCATTTATCTGCGCAGTAAAAGAAAAAGATAACCTTGTTCACAAAATTCTCCTGTTCTTCCCGAAATGCAATCAACACATTTACCATTGACGTTTTCACATGTTTGGTCCAGACAATGTGTGCTACATTTATGTGTACAATTGTCTCCATAAAATGTAGCAGGACAAGCTGGGAAATATAATGATCAGTCTAAAAGTAACTGTATTTTACATACTTCTTGATTGGACAAAAATACATTTGATTAAATAACATTAAACAAGGCATCATTTAAGAATATATATTGTTTTCTTTCACAAACCAACAGGTTAAACCAACTCTTCAAATAGTCAAACGTATGTGTAAATAAAGGCCAAAACCAAACAGATTTATATGTTTTAAAAATTTTTCACAACTAATTTTTTTCCGGAAAAGAAAATATGTTATAATGATTGTTTTAATTATGTACAGATATGTTCATGGCTCGTTAAACAAGCACAATTTTTTTCTCAGTAAAATTGCTACATTAAAAAAAAATAAAACAAAAAGCGAGCTGGATTATTTACCATTTTGACAAAGTGGACCAAACCATCCACTATCACAACTTGATCCACCATAGCATCCACCAGACACGTCACAGTAGTTGTTGGTACAGTGGCATTTGTACTGGCAGCTTGGTCCAAACCATCCGAAGGGGCATGCTACAGTTTAAAAAATTGGTAAAATTTACTTTAAAAATATGTTTGAATTTGTCAAGATCCCATCTATTGTAAACTAAAATCAACAACATATTTTGATACACGGTAATAACATACGGATTTTTAAATTATATATTTAATTATATTTTCCTACAACACACCCACTCTTGTACCCTTATAAAAACTCTATAAATACTTTATAACATACATTCATTTTTTGATCACGCTAAATGAGAAAAAATATCGTCGAATAGAGATTCCTTCGGTTGAACTACGATTTCATGAGATTTAATATAATAGACACGCATAATTATTAGTTATTCAAAACAATTAAACCTATATTTCTTCTTTTTGTGATCAAAATAGTGAATGTTGTCTTATTGTTGAGTTTTTATTTTATATTTTTTTGTATTTTTAAGGTAAGTTTAATAATATACATTTCGCCAGTCCTATTTTTACTGCCTGCATGCAAAATAAGCTAATAATCGACATCCCCTCCAGTTAGAGAAATTTAAAGTCAATGGTATGTTAGTAAATTAGGTCTGAGAGAATATAATATGAATACTAATTTTTGCTCAATGTTTTATTAGTATAGAAACAGACCACGCATTCTTCCTTTCTCTCATAGACAATCAGGTTTGTGCATAAACGTTATTTCAAGTCAAATTCAAACTAAACTATAACTGCTCATGAAAATAATGGACTGTTGCCATCTCAATAATATATTCTAACCTTCGAAAACCTCCACCTCACACAGTGTTAGGGCTGAGGTTGAACGGATCTCCACGTAATAGACAGAAGGAGTAGGTGGTGACGTCACAATATAAACATCCGCATCGGTGTTCAGATTAGGATCTGTGTAGGTGAACACAATCTGCTGGCTGAAATTGTAGCTGGTGAGTGTAAATCCCCGTAGACGAAATTGGACGTCACCTACCGTTTTTAAATAGATAGAATAATTAGACAATGTATTGTAATTGTATTGTGCAATTGATTTCTTTTTAAAAAATGAAGTCTAATAAACGTTTTATTGGAAAGCACGTATCTGAATTACATAAATTTTTGGTGGAATTATTTGCAGCCACAGGTACGATGGCTGGATCTAGAACTTAACCACCCTTTATAACCCCTGGATAACGACCCACTGACATTATCCACCAGAATAAAAAAAATATCCAAATGTCTATTCAAATCGTATGCCGAGTTATGAAAACAGGTAGGCCTAAACTCTAGTGTATTTACCCCATGAATTGCAAGGTTTGAAAAGGGGCTGACTTTTCTATTTACAATTAAAACCATATCAATAGTATCCTTCCGGTTAATTCAACTTCCACCCCCTTTCAGAATACATTGCCGGAATGTAGACTAACACAGAGACGGAACATTGTATGCAACACTTTAAAAATCGATTATTATTTACACATGTCGCTCGTAAAACTAAGGAGTTATATTTCTTGCATCACCTTCTGCAACAGTGAGATAGAACACTCTCAGGTGAACGATAGGGTGCTAGGTGCGTCATGTGTAGACACCTGTTACAATACCGCAGGGATGACATCCCTTGTTCTGTTTAATCATCGAATGTTATAGCCCATTGTGTATGGTGCTCTTTAAATGAATATATGAGTCACCGTGCTCATAAAGGATTCCGAAGCGCCCCGGATCACATGAAATTGGGCCCTCAAAGCCAACACTTTAGCTGGTTGGCAGATGATTTAAGTAGTACCTAGCTGAAGTGGTCCGAATTCTCTTTAAATCAGATGTGGGCAGCAAAATACTTTTGTGTGAGCCCGGGTCGCACCGGGTCGCCCAAAGCATTTAGTCAAAGTAGCCCACCGTATTTATACTGTATAGTGAACTTGAAACGAAACTAGGCTTCCAAGTGCGGTCATGCGCGCATGGCGCCGGCAGATGTGACTTGGCACAGTTTGACCATCAGATTAAGTAGTGCGCTTGACCCCTTGACGCATAATCAATAGATCCCAGGTGTTAATATAGCCCCTGGAGAGTTCAGGGCGCCAGACCAAACCCTTCTTCCGTGAAGCCGCCCTTTCGAAATTGTTTTACCGCAGTAACCTCCCCAAGTGTATTCTCAAAACTTTCTATTGTCACTTGGCATTTGATGAAATATGTACTATGTACCAATGCACAAGAGACAAACATACCCATAGACAGTCAAACATACTTTGATTTTCGCACATAAAAATTTTAAACTAATTTTAATTGCTTAGATTATTTAAATGATCTACTTTTCTTGATCAGGATTACCAACTTGCAATTATATACTAAATTGTCTAATAACATTCTGTTCATAATAAAAATCATCACTATTAAGCATTCTGCCTCTATTGAAAATGTAACCAAATCATTATTACCCTAATATCACGCGAGCTAGACCGTTGCCTAAAACGAGACCAACTTGTAAAAACGCATAAATTGTCTACTATTCTAATAGCTATACTGAATTAAAAGAAATCTTTACGTACATTTTAATTCATCAGTTAATTGATGTTACCTCGGTTGTACAAAATATATCTGTTTATGTACAGTGGTATTGGAAATGTGAGACCCCATATCCCTTTGTCTTCTGTATGTGTACATGAACCACTGGCTATTCTATTATCAGTGTTCCCGTCTACTGCCTTGTCAGACGTGTATACAGTACCGTAATCACTTGACTGCCACGTCATTTGCTTCAGAGCGACATTTCGTCCTGAAAAATAATACACTCTAAGCATAATAGGCGTCTAGTCCGCTAAAATTATTGATTAGAAAACTATTAATAAGTGTTATTTTGACTTAGGCTAAACATGTATTTATACTCCAGCTAATGTTCACAAATATACAAATAAAATCAGAGCTTTAGGCTACTGTGCACCAAGCTTAAATAAACCGGGAGTGATCTCCCCTATACTTTCTCGAATATCCTAATATATTAACCCCCCCGTGCGCACCTCTCTCTCTCTCTCTCTCTGTCTGTCTGTCCACAAAATATTTTCGCCGGACATCACATCAGAATCTACAGCGATATATTGAGAACTTTATACGGACTTTTGTTGAAAATAATATGGTAGATGTTTTAAATGTATAACCACAATTTTATTTAAAGAAGAAAAATAAAAAAAAGGCGTATTCGAATGTATAAAAACAATTTTATTTATGCAACCGGAAAAGTGTTTAAACTTGGGACAAGAACGCATTTAACAATGACGTCGCTTATTGTTTACACTAAAAAAAAGAGCACAAAACTGATGACGTCATCTTTCGAGTTTATAATAAAAAGAAGGCCGATGCTAGCCGGAATAAGATACGCATGCGCAATGGAGAGCAACTACGACTTGCCATTTCGGAGATGTTTTCGATGGTACTGCGCATGCGTGTGTTTACAACCGCAGAACCCTAACACCAACCCTAATCCTATCCCTAACCCTAACCCTAATCCTATCCCTAACCCTAATCCTATCCCTAACCCTAACCCTAGCCCTAATCCTATCCCTAATCCTAACCTTAACCCTAGCCCTAATCTTAGCCCTAACCCTAATTCTAGCCCTAACCCTAGCCATAGGTCACTGCGCATGCGCAGAGCTATCTTTTGCCGACTAAGTGGAGACGTTGGGGAGAAAAATCTTCTTCCGAGGTAGTCACTTCTTAAAAATCATTCAAATATGATATAGAGCTATGTACGCAATAAAATGTATACAATACGATTTTCTCGGTCTAAACTTAAAAAAATTATTTTATCTATTTGGATTCTAGATCTAGAGATTCTAGATCTAGATTTAGACTCTATCTACTGTAGAATCTATTCCAAAAATAAATTTCTATAATAAACTTTTTCAGGACTTAAATATTTTATAGAAATCTTTGTTTGTTTAGCAATGAAACTGGCTAATTTTGGGTAAAAAAATTAATTTGAAAAAATAGGCATATTCGCGTAAGTTATTTTTTTTTAAACACTTCTTTTATTCTCCATATTCTAAAGGTACCTAATTAGCTGAGATGATAGTGTACTTGATACCACACAGGTGGTGCCGGATCGAGACACACCAAGTCAGCCCTAATTTTTTTTTATATGTAAATCTTCCTATTTTAGACTATTAAGAAAGGAACTACTTTGGAAATCTTTGTTTATCTATTCAATTTGCTAATCTCTATAATATTTGAAGCAATGTTGTCGGGTGCCCGACATCAGGCACTTCCTGGCGCCGCAGGCGCTTCAAATTTGACAGGATCTTGCCTTGGGGCGACAGAACACGGGGGCCGGTGCCGGTTGGCCTAAGGGTCTACGATGAGCGGGTCAAAACAGACCTCGACTGACCGGCACCTTATATGAGCTATAAATCGAAAAAAAAATTGTCCGCGTAGGAACCTCTTCATAACTCCTGAGGTCGTAGACCGACCCTCAGGCGAATTAATTAAGCATTCAAATTCTCAATGTTTTTGAAAGCCTAAGCGAAGCTGGGCAGCATGCCTAGTTCTTATATAAAACAACAGGGGATGGCAACTTGGAATAAAGACATGATTTTTAATCCATTTTGAATACTTAAACTTTTTTAAATAGAATAAAGTCTCGTAGAAAAAAGAATTGCACACCAAGTGAACGTCAAATAATATGTGCAAAATAGTGCGGAATATTATTTGTACTTTATAAATTCACATGCGTTTTTTTAGAAATTAGAAATAGCAGCAATTACTACTTACGGTCAACAGAAATTAATCAAGGCAGTGAATTGGATCTTTTACTTACTTGTGAAATTTCATTTATCTATCTGAAATAGTACTCAGGTTATAGGCTTTTGAAAAATTCAAAGTAGAAAAAGTTCCCCTTCCGGTTATCTGAAATCGCTCAAAAGTTGATACTGATCTACGATTTTAATATAATACTTATATACGAAATTTCTCCAACCTAGCTGTAACGGTACTCAAGTTATCGTGTTTACTGACACACACACAAACAGACACACACAGACACACACACACACATACACATAATGTACTCAAGGAAATATTTAACAATAGCTTATTATATTATTTTGAATTATTTTATATAGAATTTAGGGCTACATGATTTTAAACTTTGAATATTAATGCCCCTACCTCCATTAATATTAACTGTGCACAGCGATATTGTTTTTCCAAAGTCTATTTGAACCATCTGAACAGTTTTGTTGCAACTACAGTAGATGTATCTAGTCGAGTCGTTGAATTGTGTTATGGTAATGCCAGTACACGGGGTAAAACTGCTATTGTAGACTGTCTCTTTAACAGCAAGACGTAACTCTGATAAGGAATCTCAAATTATAGAAAAAAACTTTTAGCAGGATATGTTAACTAACAATGCATAGTATATTGAGCAAGTTTAATATATGTATATATATATATATATATATATATATATATATATATATATATATATATATATATATATACATATATATATATATATATATATATATATATATATATATATATATATATATATATATATATATATATGTCCTCTCCCACAATTTAGAAGAAAAAGAAATAGCTCAAAAGATTAAGATGAACTTCCGATTGAGTTAGTATTTAGTAGTTATAGAGTAGGATTTTTATGAAACTGTGAGTCAAATCTGAGCTTAAACCACTTCTGTATAATGGATCTGCGTAATGTGGTATTGCGATCAACAAAAAGCTAAGTGATAACTTAAGATCTAGTAGCAAATGGGAAAGCTGTGCACGGTAGGACCCGATATTTCACTACACGCGGTAGCAAGTATAAATAGTGTGTAATATGAACCGTAGTCGTCACCCTCGGTTGCGCCTAGAAGTTGTTTAGAAGTTGCCGGCATACTCGGGGATTAAACTTGCGGATTACATTTACCGGTTACACTTGGATGAATGTGTATCTTTTACATCTAACGTGTTTTAATCTATTAGTGCTAAAAATAGACTGTTTTTATTATAGTTGCTTTGAACTTTAAAAAAAGAAACTTTTGAAAGGACGATGTTACAGCAACGACATGGTGGGTTGTAATGTGTCTAGGATATACTTGCGTTACAAGTGTGACCGAAAAGTGCTTGAAATTCCTACAGCTCATATTTTAAGAAACCAGTTGACGTTCCATTCGAATAGGATTTAAAAAGACACAGACACAAGTAACAACTCTTTAATAGAAAAATATACATCCTATTTCTCCGCTGTTTTAAAAATGAAAATCCTTAAAAGCAAATTGATTATATAACCACCAATCACGGAGCTTCATAAGTAACATTTGGAAAAAATAATGAGTGGGGTATATTTCCGACTATATTCTCCCTTCATTTTCAGGTGGTATAGTAATCCTTAATTACTTACTCTACCAGGTTCAATGGGGTAACTAATGTCTAACTGGTTGCTTGATCTCTCACTTCTAAATTTGGTGTAGTAACACAGTACAAATCATAAAAAATACATTGTAATGAAATGTTCATTGTGTACAGTAAAGTTATACTTACCATCTGCTTTTAGTTTTACCCTAATGGATGTCAACTCATATCTTCTCGCCAAGTTTATCGTAGAATATTGCAGATTTGCACAAGTAGTATCATCTCTATCCGTCAAAATCGTTGTACTTGTTGAACCCAATTGTGCAAGGTCCTCTGAGAACACATTATTCTAAAATCTTGCATTATACATGTATAGTCACCTACACTAAAGTATAGTAAAGGAATTACATAACAACGAAGTAGTCGGCTTTACTGCAAATTTTAATCATTCCTAATAATTAAAACGAAGCACAGATAATAAAGTAAACGATTATAGTTTTCATGGTATACATAATAAGGCTACCTAGAGTGTATGCTATATATTTCACGTTAATATTTTAACGTATTTGATATTCAATTCGATACGACATATGTATTGAACTTTCAGTAGCTAATAATCTAAGAATTTCTCTATGTTAGTATTAAGTCACAAAATAAAAATAATCTTCTTTATATTGGTGTATTAGTAACGATTCCCTGCTAATTATTTTAACGCCATTAGCAGTCTATTTTCTTCGAATGAAAAGTAATGCTCCTCGAAAAATTAGCTTTTTTATATTTTTCTACCCCATTTGCGCCAACTAAATGTAGGCGCCCGTGGCGGCAGCCCCACCAGGCTTTTCCTATGAAGTAAAAAATGAAAATGCAATTAAAATACAATCAGTACTACATATATAATTTGATTTATACTACTTACGATACTGGCATAGCGGACCAAACCATCCACTAGCACAAGTAGATTCATCTAAACATAGACCATTGATATCACAATTGTTATCAATACAGTGACATTTGTATTGACAGTTGGAGCCAAACCATCCAGACAAACATGCTGGATAAAAATGACAATTTCATATTTTATTGAGTTTTCCGTTGTCTCTCAATGCAATCACAATAAAAGAGCAATTTTAGTTTCAATGATCTACATTTTTAAGCAGCGTAGTTATTTTAAAGAGATAAATTAGCATTTGGCAGTAACCTTTTTAAGAGTTCAAAAATACTTTTTAAAAATTGTAAAGCTAATATGAGTTTAAAATTATCTGTTATCATTTCTTTTCTTAGCATTTTGAGATGTGGGATATTGAGTTTATTACAGTTGAGTTGAATTTAATATAATCGAAAGTTTGAAGCGTTTGACAAAAGTATTTTACCTGCTAAAATACAGACACAACGTAACCAGAGAACCAATATTGGGAGAAAAATATGTCTGGCCATGTTCTCCAAACCGATGTTACCCTTCAAGAATGTTATTTGAATGTTTAGTAGAAAAACGTTTTCATTTAAATACGTGTTTATTTTATTTTTAAACTATCTGCATTGTTCACAATAAGTCGAGCATTGCTAATTTTCTGCATAATTAAAAAAATGAAACAAAATGCAATTTGTGTTTAAAAAATTGAAGACTAACCATCCTGTACAGTGGGGGCTAGATATGTCCGGCCACTATCCCGCCACTATGCTGAGGCAGTAGTCTAAATCAAAGACTGAAAAAGTCATGTCTCTTTGCATGCATAAAGTCACTTCAATATTGATTGACTGTGGGCAATAGGCTTGTCAGTATTGTTATCAAAGACTAGAATGCCACTAAGATCGTAAATTATAATCGTACTCTTTAATTTGTTCAAAATAGATCTGACTAACATAGTTGCAACATAATTACAAACATAAAAAAACATAAAACATATCATCTATGAGATAATATTTACAACTTACTATATAGTATGTGTGCTCCAATTTTATTAATGCATTCTTGATCTATGCTATCGCCGGCCACCTTGGGTAAGTAAATATTTAAAAAAGGTAACCGTAGCCTCTGAACTGTAACAAACCGATTGCAACATGAGGCGGTTTGACCTGGTTTGACATTATGTTATACCTTTTCAGAGTAAGGTGGTACACAGTAATACTGAACTTATGTGCAGGGGCGGAACTACAGTGCCGCCAGACCCCGCAATGCGGGGGGGGGGGGGGGGGGGGCCCACGCCGATTAGGGGCCCTCGGCCGACCATAATCAATTTTTTTACTTAAAAAACATATTTTTCTTTCATTTTTGACTTGATGGTTGTTTTGTTAAAAGAAAACTGTAGCTGCGGTTGGATTATCTTTATTCTATAGACACCATCCCACGCTCTTGTATATTTTTTTTTCCATTTATTTTTAAACCATTGTGAAAGACAGGCAAACGTTTAAACCACCTTCATGACTTATTTCCCTTTATTAAATAGTCAAATAGGGGTTCTCAAAAGCACCTTTTCCCAGATTTGTACTAAACGATTAAAAAAGCAATTACTTCTCTTAAATATTTAAAAAAATATATGTACTAAAGAATGACATAGCAGAAAAAGGAAATTTATTTAAAATTAATAATATAAATACAAAAATACATAAAAATAAACATAACACGAGAAACCATTACTTTACAAAAGCTTTGATATTTCATATTCTTTTGACCGACTTTATGTTAAATAATAGTACGCCCAACTTTTAATAAAACAGAATTTCAAAATAAACTTATATAGGGGGCATACACTCACACCCATGAGACGTTGTAATTTATATTAATTGAAAAAAAAAGACTTTTTTTTCAAGACCCGATCAGGCCAGAAATGAGTATCCTATGTTCATATTTTATTCTGGTTTGTATATATATATATATATATATATATATATATATATATATATATATATATATATATATATATATAATCATGGTAAGGGGGGCCCAAAAATTTTTTTGCGGGGTGGCCCTTTTTTTCTAGTTCCGCCACTGCTTATGTGTAATGTTTTGCTTTTAAAATGGGTGCAGGGAATTTTTAACAACATTGGCATAGACAAGTGTTTCTTTAAAAATAGACTTGACAAAAGTTTTACTTAAGATGAAGCAAGTGATTTATCTATTGTTTTCTTAAATAAAGGCGGCTGGGCATAGTGCTGACCACACTATCTCTTCATATGCCGAGATCACAGAAACAAGTGAACTCTACTTCACTTGCCTCATAGACCGTCAGGTTTGAAAGGGAAACTTTTTCTTAAATAATACACCTTTCAACTTAAAAAACTGTCTTTGTTTTAGATCAAGTGGCATTTAGAAATATTATATAATCAGTGGTGGTTTTGTACAATTAAAACACGATCAATCTCTTATAAGGACGCTGGGATTGGGGAAATGCAAATGTTTATGTATGTAAGGATGATCAGAGACACTTGATTTATTTTATCTGCCACTTAGTATTCTTCTACGTAGCTCTTAATTGTACGGTTTGCATGGTTTTCCTCCGATACTATTAAGTATTGTGTTAACTTGTTATGCGCCTTATAGGCCGTTAACACCCATTTCAGTCTGTTTATTTTTTTAATTTCTTGCTGTTTCCAGTAATCGAGCCTCATATGCCTGGCTTGAACTGGGGACCTTTTTTAAAGCAATTAAGAGGTTTTACCTATCCGATCGTCGCCGACTCCTTTTCGACAATTGAAACTTCAATATTATAAAAACGGAAAATGAGAAAAAAAAAAAAACTTATTTTTTTTAGTCTAATGAAACATGTCTTTTTTTTACATGAAAATTATAATGACAGTGCAATAACGAGAAAACAAAAATATGATTTTTAAATTTTTTATTTCGAATAAAATTAAGTGATGTATAGTAGAAACATAACTTCAATTTTAAAAGTGTTTGATGCACAAAAAATGTCTTTACTTATTCTAACCTTTAAATATCACTAAAATAATAAACCGGGAGTGATCTCCCCTAAACTTTCTCGAATATTCTTATATAAAACAACAGGGATGGGAACTCGGGATATAGTAATGATTTTAATCCATTTTAAATACTTAAACTTTTTAAAATAAAATAGAATCTCATAGAAAAGAGAATTGCGCACCAAGCGAACGCCGAATACAGATGTGCAAAATAGTGCGGAATAGTATTAGTACTTTATAAATTCACATGCGTTTTTTTGAGAAATCGGAAATAGTGAAAATTACTACTTCCGATCAACGGAAATTACTCAAAATTTGACGGAAGTCAGAGAATGAGATAATTTACTTACATGTGGAATTTTATGTATCTATCTGGAATAGTACTCAAGTTATAAGCTTTTGAAAAATTCAAAGTAGAAATGTTCCACTTCCGATTACCGGAAATCGCTCAAAAGTTGATACGTATCTACGATTTTGATATAATACTTTTATATGAAATTTCATCAACCTAACTGTAAAGGTACTCAAGTTATTGTGTTTACACATATACACACATA